TGAAAAGGGGTAAGTTCTCCTCATTGCCTGCTAGAATTGCAATAATGATCGTCCCCCCCAGTACCAGCCCATCAATCCTAATTTGTCTGTCATGGTGTAGTCCAGACTTTTGAACCAGGTGAGTCACTACCCATTGGCTGCTACTGTCACCTCCTCAAACTAGCTACTTAGTCCTAACGCCAAGCATCCTAAACAACAGAGAACAACCAGTTCAGTTACAGAAGTAGGCAGGAGGAGAAGGCAGGCAGGGGTCAAGAAATGTAACTGGAAACAAAGGTTACTCAACATATCTCACTGTATCTGAATAAGGAAGAGAATTTTCATGCTCTCCCGTTTTGCTCTAAAGACCTACAATCTACAATTAGCAAATTCACACATGTTTAAACATGTCAATTATGCTCTCCAAAGTAATGACCTTTTGACAGCTGTGGCAATTCAAGGAAATGTTGTACTTAGAAATAATTTTGACTACATAAATGCTAAAATTAAAGCATTTCATTGGAACAAAACAAAACACATCAAAAGAAATGTTTAGAGGAAAGAGCACATTGACCACGTTGGGTCCCCCTCCCCGCCGCCATCATTAAAAAATATATACTGTTTTATTTCTTAAATTTACCTGAAGGCTGCTCTAGAAAATTTCAGTCTGCCACAACACAAGACAAATGGGTACCCGTGAGTGAGGAGAATTATAGTTCTTGCAGTAGAATACAGGTTCAGCTTGCTGCAGGATCTTCCTGTGCTTTGAATACAAAAAGGTTAAGTTAAGCATTAACACATTTTAAGTGGAAATATATATGAGATGGACTATTTCTGTGACCACAACCTTTGGCAGAGACGACACAAGTTTTAAGGGGACCCAGCCGGAGCATTTGTCCCACTTTAAGGACTGGGGTGTGCATGGATCTTAGCTAAACTTTCCCAGACATCTAAATGATATTTCTCTTACTTTAGTTCATGCTTCTTTTAAAAATATGTTTTATCCCACCTTTATGTCCTTTTCAAAACCAATACGCCCCCACCACCACCGCGCCTTAGGCAAGGGGAAGCAGAGTTTAGCACTGCAGCGGTTCCTAATCCCAAGTACAGCAAAGCATTCATTAAACATTGTTAGCCACAGATGAAGTTCTCTGGACAGTGGCAAGTACGAAGGTGGTTGGACCAAACGCATTCAGGTTGCAAATATAGGGCTGAAACATTCAAGGACTTTGTTGCTAGACAGTAGTGCTTGAGTTTTGTTTGCAGCCCTCACATGCCATTTGTAGTTTGTGTGACTGGGAGGGACGTTTCTGGGCTGGAGAATGTCTATCCAACATTGACCAATTGCTCCTTCCAGCCTTTGAAATCAAAGAGAGCCCTGCCTCTGTGCTGACATTCCTGGGTTGATGTCAGTTGCTTGCTGTTGATCTGTTCGACTGGTTGCTAAGAATGTGCATAATAAAGAAAGCAGTAGATACAAGTGTGTAATTTCAAACAACTCTCTATCTATCTATCTATCTACTGTATTTATTTATTTTTTCTCCTACATATGTCTCAGAGGGAGTTACTGAGTTTTTAAGTGCCACTATATGAGAAACGGCTGGACTTTGGGGAGCTTGTAGTTATTCTCCTCTGCGTGTTTCTGTGTTTCTACGGCGTAATTAAAAAGGAATTTCAAGAGAAATTCAAAACTCTTTTGGTATATGTGTTTCAGAAACACAAAGGGTATACACTCGGAGAAGAATCAATGTATTTTTTTTTGAGAGAGAAATGGGGTGTTATGAAATCTAACATTTTTTTGAGAGAGAGAAATGGGGTGTTATGAAATCTAATAAAAATATAAATGTTAACTAGTTCCGAGTTTTGGGGGGGGTTGTACAGGGGTGATAACTGTGGTTTTCTTTATTGTTAAGTGAATTTGTTCGTGTGTTTATTTCATTTGTTTTTTATTGTTTAGAAATTAATAAAAGTCATATTTTAAAAAGAGAAGTTCAAAACTCTGCAACAAGCACATACATGGTTCTCTTGTATCTTTAGAGCGAGTCGGTGAAGTATATTGAAAAAATACCTAGTTGCCAAAGATCATCGAAAGTGCTTCATTGAATGAGGTAGATTCAAATACATTCTCAAGTCGGTGAAGTAGTATATTGAAAAACATACCTAGTTGCCAAAGATCATTGAAAGTGCTTTATTGAATGAGGTAGATTCAAATACATTCTCCTAAGGATGCTTCTAGATGGATGCTTTCTTGCAGTATGACTCAAAAGGCATTGTACAACTTTCCTTCATTCTTGTTTTGTCTTCTTCTAAGGAAAAATAAGGCAGAAAATGATGAGAAAATGCAGGCATCTACAAATAAGAGACAATGTTGTCTGAATCACCTGCAAAATTCTGTGACAGATGTAGCAAGATTACACAGTACAAGTCATATCTGGAAGTATGACTAGTCCTATATTATATACTTAATAATACACCACACTGATTAGCTATGCCTTTTCAAACCTATGCAGCATAAAGAAGAGTGGATTTTAATTAAAAAGGAAAACATTTACATAGCAATCTTTCATTTTTACATTCTCTGTCTGTTAAAAATTCAGACTGGGAGTTTGAAACAACATGATGCCTTTTACTTGAATATTCCAAAAAAGGATAATGGGGCGGTTTATATTTGTTCTATAAATGTTAAGTGCTTAGCAATGTAAATATGAGCAACAAATATAAGCACACAACCTATCTTATCTGTATATCATATTTCCAACAAACATGGATTGGTTTCTGATTTTTCAAGAGAAGGTTCAATATTGTTTTTTTCCCCTCCTCATTTGCTGAAAATAATAAAAGTGTATGCAATGGTTTTCTGCTGAATTCAAAGTTTTGTATTTGACAGTCATTATTTTAAGCTGTGATCCTATGGCCAGCTACCTAGGAGTAAATCCAATGGAACTCACTGAGCTTAATCTAAATCCCCGCACAAGCAAGATTTACATTGTTTGTCGTTGTTCATCATGTGTTTAAGTCCTGCTGTAATGGGAGAAAAGCAGGATAGAGATTAAACAACGACGCCTATTTTAAAAGGGAAACTTAATCATCAAAGAGTGTTTTGATGCTGTCTTTACCGCTGAACGAATCTGCAGTGCATCCATTCGCATAGCATTGCTTCTAAAAGGTTCTTGCAGAACTTTATAGTACTTGGTTTAAAAGGTTGCCCACAACGGCTGTCTGTGCTGTTCACCAAAAAGCGGGCCAGGGAATGAAGGCGGTTTGTTTATTGATTTCTTAGATTGTCCTTTTACCTTAGCCCACTTAAATAATTCTATTACTTGAATGGCCAGGTTCCAGATACGCAGATGGAGCCAAGGCTTTGTTGGCTGGTTCTAAAAATCAAGGCTGAGGCAAGCCAAGAAGGAACTAAGTCGATGGATGTTAAAACACAAGGAGCCTCTAAGGAATGTGAGGTACCCAACCCAACTTAGTGCTAACCCTGCTTCATATCAAACTTCTGAAAGGGAAGGATTAATTGATTAATTAATTAATTTATATATCCATTAGACTTGTATGCCGCCCGCATTCTGCAAGAGTCTCCGGATTCAAAGGTCTGGGTCTCGTATATCTGAATAGGGTCTATCACATGAATCTATCTGCTCCTGTTTTTGTCTACATTTAAAAAAAAAAATCTCAACATTGTTTTTATTATTTTTAAATGTGTAGACCGCCCAGAGTAGACCTTTGGTCTAGATGGGCGGGATAGAAATCAAAGAAATAAATGAATGAATGAATGAATGAATGAATGAATGAATGAATGAATGAATGAATGAATAAATAAATAAATAAATAAATAAATAAATAAATAAATGACCCATCCCAAACGTTAAAACATTTGCAATTTGTTTGGAAATGACAGCTACCAAACCCAACTCAAATCCGTCTCTACTGTCATTCGAGACTCCCACCTGGTTGAAAACCACTGGGAAGAATAAAAGTTAGTGAAGGATGATAGATGGAAACAAAATAAAAAGTGTGGGGGGGGGGACAGAGAGACCAAAATGAAGTGGCACCTTCAAGACTAACTTTTATATTTTTTTAAGGTGAGCTTTCGCGGAAAAGCCCACTTCCTCAGGCATTTTTAAAGGTGAGCTTTCGCAGAGGTCACTGCCTCAGAAATGCCTGAGGAAGTGGGCTTTTCCGCGAAAGCTCACCTTAAAAAAATATAAAAGTCTTTAAGGGGCCACCACATTTTGGTCTTTTAATTTTATTTTCACCTATCATGCTTGTATGGACTAACACAGCTATCCTTCCACAACGTTAATGAAGGGATCATGGAGAAATGTAAAATGGTTGTACTAACAGCTGTTGACGTCCTGTGAAGAAATTTGCTTAGAAAACAATAACTTTGCTTATCTGGTGGAGTGAATAAATAAATACGCTATATTTGATTTCCAAATGTGGGAAGCAGCACATCAGAACCAAACAAAACAGATGGAATAATGACAGCCTGATTCCCATGGGTATTACGTAAAGCAGATTATGAATGTCAGCACTTTATACCCACACAATGTTTTAAAAGTTTTCTCTTTTAAAAGAGAAAAGAGAGAGAGAGAAAAAAAACCCCTATAACGCAGAAAAAGACATGTGGACGTGATAGACAAATTTCCGAGTATATTTTAAATTATATTATTTTAGAACATATTAAAAACAAAAAACAATGTGTCGACGTAATAGAGGCATTCTGAGTATATTTTAAATTATATTATTTT